TCACAATGTTTCTATTTGCCCTGCTCTCAAAAAGGTTAAGCAGGAAATTCAAGCATTCTCATGTGACAGCTCCGACACCATCAGCGGCTCAGAGGCCCCTTAACCTCATTTTGAGCAGTTTAGCGGAGAGAGATGATCTTGAAGAAATTACCTTATTCTGCTGTCATGTGATGCTCTCTGTTCCTGAACTCATCTCAACTATAGGTTGCATAGTGATTTCTTTCCATTTCGTGACTTCCTCTTGCCATATGTGCAGCAGGGGAAAAAACAACAACACAATGCCAGCAGATGAGCAATTTTGCATTGATTCTTTTTTTATATTTTGTGTTGTGCTTCTAATCGCTTTGTGCTGTTGTTGAGCAGCAGGTTGATTCTAAATGACACTTCACTGCTTCATTACACACTCGCACAAAAAAAAGTTTTCTACTTAATCATCAAGATGTTCGCAAGAAAAATAATCAGACAAAAACAGAATTTGTTTTGCAAATTTCATTTGTCAAATTAGTAAGTTTTAATGGGGGCATAAATAGTTCTTATTTCAGTTGTACTTATTGAAAATTATTTATTTTGTTTTTTTAGAAAATGTACTGTAGCATAAGTATAGTTGTAGTTTTCATCACCAGCACCACAAACTGTTCCATCTGCCTATGATATATACTAAAATATACACCAGAAACTTGTATTTTCATATGATTAAGTTTAGAGCTTTATTTATCAAATTCATAATGCTACGCAGTAATTGTGAACACTTAAATGTGCTGTAAATGTGTCAATCTTTAGAATCAAAGAGGAGTTTTGAGAGTCACTTTGGATCAACTAAACGGCAATGTCTTTACAACGTTTAACAGCTGTACTAAAATGTGCATAACTACTTTGTTTAATGCTGGTTTATTATTGTTACTGATTTCAGATTTACTGCATCTATGCATCAAAGTGAACTGTTTTTTTTTTTACACTCTCAGAGAGAAAAAAAAGGTACAAAAGCTGCCACTGGGGTGGTACTTCTTCAAAAGGTTCACTTTTGTACCTTTTAGGTACTATTATATACACTTTAGGTACCAGAATGGAACCAGAATCAGAATCAGACACCACCTACTGTCTAATTGTGTGATTCTTTGGGTTTTTATTTATTTAAATGTTTAATGTTTTTGTACAGATAGAGATATGCTGAATTTGGAACCTTGCACTAGCATACTACTACTTCTTTTTTTTTTTCCATTAAATGCCAGGAAGAGTAGTGTGCAGTTTTGAATTCAGAAATAATGGGTCACGGCTTTGCTGGTGAGCATGAATTAGTAAAATGTATTTTGTGGCAACAAATTCATAATTCGTGGCCACGATATAGGCTATATGTTTGCAGGGCTCTGTAGCCATGTGTTCTGATGAAGCAAAATACTTTTCGAGCAACAATCACAAATATTTCATCACAAATATTACCATTGAACGATTTTTTTCTGGAAGCTCTTAAAAGCATGAAATCGATATTTTTCTCTCTCTGCTGCCTTTCACAGCTCTGTGTAGATGAAAAACTTTTTTTAAATAGCCTAGGCGGTTTTAGTTGACAAAATTAATTTTCACAACCAGTTCACACTGACTTTCACAGCTACTTATTCACAGCATTCATTAAGTTGAATTAATAATGTTTATTTATGTCTGTTTACAATACATTCATGTTCATTTAGAACTTGAATGCTAATTTTAAACTTATCATAGGAATTAACATTAACACAAAACCAATAAGCGCTGTAAAATATGGTTTATTATTTCATAATAGCTTTTTTGTCTTTGCTGATGATATTGGTTTTAGTTAACCATAATAACCTTGGGGCAGAAAGACAATAAATCACACACTTTCATGAGTAGCTCGGGTTTTGTAGAGATGTTTCATCATACATTCAGAGGCTCGAATCATTTTCCTGCAGGTTTCGCAGAGCGCAGGATGAGGAACGACGACGTTTATTTAGGGCTTCATATGTCACATTTCTGAGGCTCGCCGCATGCTGTGATCATCAGTTTCAGAGCGTTTGCAGTGATATAAATGTGCATACTTGTATCTTAATTTACATAAACATCTCAGCGTCTGCTGTAATCTTTGTCATCGTGAGCGCGTGGCACAGATCCATAGGCCTATGCCGCTCTGTCCACGCGTGCACCCGTGCCCTCAACCCCACGTGAGCATCGGCGATGAAGATCAAGGCACCAGCTACAAAGTTGTGTGCGGTGTGGATTGGGGTAAATTGAAGCATTAAGCTGACATCACTTCTGGCCGTGTGCAGAATCAATAGATGCATCCTGAAAGTGGCTGCAGAAGTAATTTACTCAGCGCTGGTCACAACAGATAGGCAAATTCAGCTCCAGCATTCAGGTCTCCCACACACACTACTGAAGAATGTGCTGATGAAGGCTTTTCCAAATAGCTGCATTTACGAAGTGTGTGACTAGACTTTCGATTAAGATGACAAAGCCGGAAGCAACAAGGACTGTAATTTAATCCAGTACAAACACGAGGCTCTGTACCTCGAGTAAGATCATCCTTTGAAGTCCATTTAGTTTCAAGATGGATCCGTCGTGGTCGGGCCAACCTTTAAAAGCCAAGATGATGGATTGAAGCCAGAGGAGAACTCATTTGTATAAAGATGGTTGGAGGGTTTATGAAATATCACTAATGCTATCGCGGAGAGATTATATCAGGTTTGCATTTCCTCGACCCTGTATCTGACTGTTGCTCTATTCAAGGAGGGCTTATTCAGATCAGATTTAAATAGGATGATCTCAACAGTCCTTATGATTTTATATGTTGTATTTAAAGACTCTAAAGTGGGCATTAGGTATCATGAACTAACAATGAACAACATTTTACATTGTTTTTTAATGTAGGTCAAGGGTAGTTAAGGGCTTTTCAGTTCCATTTCTGGATTCAGTTCCAACCCTAATTAAACACACCAGAACCAGCTAATCAAAATCTTCAGGATAACTTAATTATTTCCAGACAGGGTTTTTGATTAGGGTTATAATAACAAAATCTGCTGGTCCTGGCCCTCCTTGAATGGAACTGAATAGCGCTGTTCATGAAAGAATCGGCTTATTAGAGTAATTCGCTTGAGAATCGGACAACCCTGGTTGTATGGTTTTGATTCTTTATAAGAGATACTCGCTCACGCGAGTCATTCATTCGCAAATCAAACTACCTTGGCTGAGCTATATGTGTTGTGATTCACTTAAAAGAAATAATGCGCCATTCGTTCAGGAATTGGACTACCCTGGCGCAGCTCCTGGAAAGGTAGTGAGAAACATTGTTCATCAGTAATTTATGTTCATGCATAATACATCAAAAAATGTATGTAGAAATGAACATTAACCAAGATTAATAAAGGCTTTAAAATTGTTATCCATCATTGATGTATAATGCATAATGTTAACAAATTGAGCATTATAAATCGCTAATTATTTTTAAGGCTCTCATAAAAATGTATGATCCTTGTCCATCCTATTACTCATCCTTAGAATAAAGCAGTCTGTTTTTGCTTTTGTACTGTTACTTCTTTACATATAAAATGCAATAAAGTGAATAAAATTCATCTGTTCAAATCCGACATTGTCTTAACCAGCTGCATAGTGACAAGAAACTTGGTCACTCATGATTTTATTTCTGTGCCATTGTGCGGAGTAAGCTAAATCGAGCTGCACATAACTATATTAAACATCAAATATGTTCTGATTATTTGCGATTGTGTTGTATCTTGCTGCGTTTTCATTGTCAGTGTCCCATTTGTCACATGGTGTTGCCTAAATAGTATCTTTTCTTTAAAAGAGCAAGGACAATCTGATATGTCCCCCCATTGATTAGTTATTAAAACTTAAAATTTAACATTGGAATAAGTAATAATGCATTGTTTCAACTTAAAATATTAAGTGTTCATGCTTGACTTAATTATAAGTTTAGTTAACTTTAGTTAAGTTGGATATTTAAAGGGATAGTTCACCCCAAAATTAAAATGTGATGTTTATCTGCTTACCCCCAGGGCATCCAAGATGTAGGTGACTTTGTTTCTTCAGTAGAACATAAACGAAGATTTTTAGCTCAAACCGTTGCAGTCTGTCAGTCTTATAATGGAAGTGAATGGGAATCACGGATTTGATAGTCAAAAAAACATACACAAACAAAACCAAATTAAATCCTGTGGCTCATGATGATACATTGATGTGTACAGACACGAAACGATCGGCCTGTGCAAGAAACCGTATTTATATTGATTTTTACCTCTGATTCACCGCAATGTCCGAACTGTCTGAACTGTCCTGAGCACGTTCTCAACAGCAGGTGTGTGACGCGTCGTCTTCTTCTTGCTTTACGGCGGATCACAGACTTATAAGTGCATTACCGCCACCTATCTCTCAAATGGTCCATTGACACTCCTAATTGAGATTGTAGATAGAGTGTCAACGGTCCAATTGAGAGATAGGTGGCGGTAAAGGTAAAATGATAGGAGAGGTAAAAAACAATAAAAATACTGTTCAGTTTCTTGCACAGACCAATCTTTTCGTGTCTTTACACATCAATGTATCATCACGAGCCGCAGGGTTTAATTTGGTTTTGTTTGTGTATGTTTTTTTGACTCTCAAAGCCGTGATTCCCATTCACTTCCATTATATGACTGACAGACTGCAAAGGTTTGAGTTAAAAATCTTCGTTTGTGTTCTACTGAAGAAACAAAGTCACCTACATCTTGGATGCCCTGGGGGTAAGCAGATAAACATCAGATTTCATTTTTGGGTGAACTATCCCTTTAACTAATTGCAGCAGCATTTTTAAATGAAGTTAAAACTTTCAAAACCTATTCATTTTACAGCATGCATATTTCAGTTGGTACATTTGAGGTGACCTGTTGTTGCCATTATCAGACTTGACAGGAAGCCCCTCCTTTCATAAAAAATGTTAGATGAACCAAAAAAAAAGAAGCCGCCTCAGCTTTAATGACCACAGAACATCTTTGCCACACACTGTTTTATTCAACACTTATTTTGTAATCATGATTATTTGATCAGTGTAATTGCTCTGATGCACAGCTCAAGTTAAAGTTTCACTCTGAACGTTCTGCAGGCTCATCCGTCGACGGGAGGCACTTCCTGCATCAATTACACCATGTAAACGTTTATGCCAGACATTCAGGGGTGCTGCGGAAAAGAGAAGCTTACTTAAAACAGTGAGCTTATACATATGGCAGCCTTAAACAGAACATCAGAACAACTGGGGAAAAAATGAATTCAATCATACTCCCACCAGAATGTGGAGTTTATGCGCAATGATGTATAGAACAACAACACCACCACATTGTTGGAGGTATAAAAGAAGCTTCCAACAACGGAGTGTCTGAATTCACAGGACATGTACAAACATAAACGCATTTATTAACCATGAAGGGTTGAAACGATCAGCTAACATTTAGTACGTGTTGAGAAAATAAAGTATCGATTTACATTCTGGTCTCTTTAATGTAAACACTATGCTGTCCACGTTAGCAAAGCTCCTGAAGAACTCCCCACACATGCAGTTTGGCCGTGTGTGTTTTTACACATTCGCATTGCGTTGGAAAAAAAAACACAAAGCATGAAATCGTAAAGACGAGAGACCACATAAGGAGAGAGATGTAATTAAAAAACAGTTTAGTGCACACAAGTGAAATCTATCTTACAGAGTCCTTAGCAACGACCTCCGGAGGATAATTCATCCTCGTTTAGATCTCTTTATCAGCAGAGAAACACTGCGGTTGGCATTGAACAGACACCCTTGTGCTTTGGGCCACAGTAGAAGAACTGCAAAACGGCCCAAGTTTGGCTCCTCGTTAAAAAAAATGAACACAAACCTCGAGGTTCTCCCACAGTTCCAAGTTCCTGTATGGAACAGATTAGATTGTCTCACTGTGATAGTCAATGGCGACTGTGTGGATGGACTCCTGATTGTCATGTTATGAAACGATGCCCAAGGTTTGGATTCCCCTGTTTTCATTTCCCAAACGCTCAAGTCTTCCACAAAGAACATGAGATCTAAAAACCACGTTACTTTTCAAAATATACGGAAAAATGAGCTTGAGATGTCGGTAATGTCTTTCCAAGCTTGAGACGTTTGGATTTGTTCACGAATGATGCATGAAGCACAGGTGACTCACCTTTAGTGTTCGTCCAAAAGCATGTATGATGTTCAGTCCTCTAGTTAAACGTGCGTTTGCATTCGTTTCTGTAGCGGTCGAGTCAGGTCGGAGTTCTGGGATGACGACTGTGAATAGTGGGACGAAGATGACACCGAGGCTTTGCTAGCTTTGTCGAACTGCACGTATCCGTCCTGCTTGCTGTAGCTGCTGACGCTGTTGTCGCACTGTGTATCCTGGAACGAGCTGGAATCGCTGAGCGATCCCCTCTGAAACTCACGTTCGCACAACTCGATGGAGCTGCTGCCCATTCCCAGTACGAAACGCTGGCTGTAGTCATATAGTCGGTTGGGACCTGCACCCAGTGTGTTGTAAATGTTGGTGTAAGACATGCCGGTGGGGACGCGGTGTTTTCCGAGGGTTGCTGTGGCAGGGTTTCGGACCTCAGCGTTCTGATTGGCTGTCAGGGATATGGTCGGGGTCGGCTGTTCTTTGAAGGTGTTCACGCTGTAGTATCCGTTGGTCGGATCCTGTGAGACATAAATACATTTAATCCACCATTGAATTATTTGCACATTTTTTATGCAAATGAGCCATAGGAAAAAGAGTGACAATGATTTAATTTACATGGCACAGCATTTTAGGTTACATATAGGATAGGACGTGTGGCCAAGTATGGTGTCCCATAGTCGGAATTTGTGCTCTGTATTTCACCCATCCAAGTGCACACACACAGCAGTGAGTAGTGAACACACACACCCAGAGCAGTTGGGGGTTTGGTGCCATGCTCAAGGGTCTCACCTCAGTCGTGATATTGAGTGCTGGCCATTAACTCCCCCCACTAACAGTCCCTGCCGGACCTGAGACTCAAACCCACGACCTTTGTGTTACAAGTCTGACTCTCTAACCATTAGGCCACGACTCAACTATATACTTTAGTATACATTTGCAATTCATGTAAAAAGTCTGAATTGTGAGCTATAAACTTGCAATTCTGAGAAGAAAAGTCTGAATTGTGAGATAGAAACTCACATTTGTAAGAAAAAAGCTGGTTTCTGACTACAATAAAAGGTAATTGCAACTTTTAAGACTTAAATTTCTGAGTTTATATCTCACAATTCAGACACATTTTCTTAAAATTGCAAGAAAAAACTTTTTTCTCAAGCAGAGAAAGCTTGTTTCTGCCAAGTAATACAAAATAAAAATAGGTAATTGCGATTTTTAATCTCGCAATTCTGAGTCTGAGTCAGAATTGTGAGATAAGAATTCACAATGACCTTTTTTATTATGTGAGGGAAATAAGACAAAACAGGCTTTTTGCACTGAAATGCCATGCTAAATAAACCATTTAATGAATTCTCGCCTCAAAGTAGTCAATGAATCATTAACACATCAGATGAATCTCTTTGTCCTTTTGTTTTTCTCACTGTTTGTGGGAATTTTGCTGGATGTTTCCATGAAGAAATCAAATTAATTTATCCAAAGTCTGTTAGCATCATTTTAGCAAACAATTATTGATATATTACAGGACTTTTACAGTACTTTCAGCTTGAATTAAAAGCAAAATGAGAGAAAGAGTAAAAGGAAACTGTAATTTTCCTCTCATGCATTTGTAAGCTGTAAAAAGCCAAGGTCAAGTTCAGCTCACACTAATTATAGGCAGTGTGACATGGAAATTAGGAAACAGACTGATAACTGTCCCACGCTAAGAAGATTACATGGTTTAGTGATGTGAAACAGTCATCTCCAGCATAAACAGTCAAATCCTGTTATCAGCTAATTAAATGGGCCTTGACAATTCATGTCGGCATTAAATATGCGAAATAATCTCCATAAAATTCACTCACATTTTATTTTTGGCCAATTTCTATATAGATAACATATATCTCTCGCTTTCTCTTTTTAATCCTAGCGGCCTTGTAGGAACTCTGAGGTGAAATAACTCAGGGATTTCTGGGAAAAAAACAGTATGGAGTGCACTTCACCGCTGTCAAGAGTCAAGGCCGCACATCTCTGAATGAGGGCCAATGTCTTAAGCATACTGGATGGAATGGAATATTCGAAGACTGACAGTTCTGCCATGGAGAGATTGTTAAGGCAGGTGTGATTGCTGGGAGAAAACAAGACCAGCTTGATTTTTACATTTTCTGAAGAAAATTTGACTGGTGCCTGTGCAAAATTCAAAGCAACTGGACTGAGTCTGTTTCCAAATCTCTATGATATTCTAGTTTGTAGACAGGACTTGTATTTAGTTCACATGTTTTGCACTCAGCTGAAAATCTTTGTTTGCTTAACAAAAGTTTTGCATTCCCCCAAGAAACTTTATTCGCTTTACAGATGTTTTGCATTTCCTTAATTTTAATAAATTCATTTCTGTCTGTAAATGCTACTTAGTAGGCAGTCACAAAGCAAAGTTTCCATTTCTGGTTAGTTATGCTGGCCTTAGCAAATATGGCTAATGATGGATGCTCTGTCTTAAATGTGCAATTTCCAAAGATCCTAACAAGTCCTTGAAAAATTGAGCTTTTGAAATGGTCTGAAAGGCTGAAAAGTTCCAGACTGAAGTCTAGCCAAACAGCATTCATTAAACGAATTAGCATGCACATTCGACTAAATTCCCCAGTACTTCTCAATTACCAGAGGATATAACGAATCCTTGGGCTCTGGAGATCTGACATGCAGTCAGTCAGTATGACAACACGTCCATTTGTGAACATTTCTATAATGGACTCAGTAAAGAAAAAGAACATGGCAAGGAATTCTGAAAAAGTCAGAGAGCGAGAGTTCCCACAACTCTGCTTTATTCGATTCTGTGAGATTACGCGGCAGTTCTATTAAATCTGTTTTTTATGAGTATGATGAAGAAATGACTCTCTGGGGTTCTTTAATGGTGACAGATGTGAGTCCTGCCGAGTTCTCCCCCTGTCTCTCCATCCCTCAGTTCATCACCTTAATGTGTTGTAGCTCCCTCTCCTCCTCCTGCAGGACCTCCAACTGTTTCAACACCGACTCTTGCTGAAACTCTGATCGCTCCATCTAAAAGCAGAAAGAGAGAAAGTGAGATGATGCAGTAGATGTGTGCTGAAGCACCAGTGACTGGTATTGATTTCAGCCTGTAAGCATGTACAAGAGAATTTCAGCATCCAGCAAGAACAGAAATTCCCTCAAAGCTCATGTCTGATCTGAAGCCGGTCAAAGTTCAAGGATGCTGCAGTGCTGCACTGTGATTTGAGTGCTGCAGGGGAAGAGGTGAAGGAAGACTAAAAGAAAAGTCATGTTCACACTTACAGTGTCACATTAGCGAGATTTCGGGCAAAAACTGGTCCAGTGTATAACAGCTCACACAATTCTCACCTAAACCGAGCAGTTTTGTATACTTTGAAACTTGAAAATGAGCAAAATCTGCATGGGCAAATTTTGCGCCCTCACACGAAACTCGCAGATTCCTATTGGAATGACTCAATTTCACCCAAAAATGTCACCAAGCAACAGTAAATGTGACCGCACCTTTACAGCAATAATGTGATTGAAATTTGTCAAATGTGACAGCGATGTGGGCGTGTCCAGCAACTCGACAAGGTTGAGAAAAGAGTAGCTTTATGCAAATGAGCAGCAATTCTTTATGCAAAAAAAAGTGTCTACTAATATTAATGAAGACATGATCCTTCCTCTTTGAGACTTGATATGCAGGCACATGATAAAATATGATCTGTAGGAAAACAGTGTCGAAATTGACGTCATTCTGAGCAAGTTAAATTCATGCACTGGTAATTGTTCATCTTGCTTGGATATGGTGTATTATGCACTGCTGTGATTTATATGCAAACACTTTCCTCACCAGAATGCACTGTACAGTAAAAAAACATATTACTTTGTAAAATAGAATTAAATCTTATTTTTATTGGCAATGCATCTCATTTGTGAGCAGTTGCACAGCCCACCAATAATGTGAGGGCATCTAGGGAACATCTACTAGCAACAAACATTACAGCAACAAAAAATGAGGCTAACAACAGAAAGATATACTATTATATCTTGCATCTTCAGGATGAAAAGCTTTGACCTTGCAGATTCAAAGCATGTGCATATGTACTCAAACCCATCTAGCTTAACTTTGATACTCCATAGGAGGCCATTTACACTTGCATTCAGAGCTGTTAACATCAGATTATCTGAAACGAATGTTTGAACCAGATGTGAAGGAAGTCAGACAGAACTGAAGAGGGGAGGTTAGGAGTGCAAACTCACCATCATTTGCTTCATGTTGCTGTGTTCTTCCGGTTCTCTGGTTGCGTTATGGTCCTTATGGACAATCTCCACTCTGATGTCGTTTTTAGCGGATACAACCCCTTTGAGATCTGGCGGAAATCGTTCTGATTAGCCATGGTGATGCGAACCACACTACATCCTACAGCTTCCACTGAGCTTTGACATGATTCTGAATATCCCTTCACACACTTGCGAACATGCAGCAATTGCTCGTGAACAACAAGCACGTCTATTTTCCCAGACCCTGGCCACTAAGAGGTGATAGAAGGGCTTACTTTCACTTTTTAACGTGCCGGAGATCTCTCGCTGCCGAGAAGAGAGGGACACTGGGAGTGATGACATCACCAGGTGCATGTCCTCTATGGTGCACAGTCACAACATGCGAAGAAAGAAATATCACTTGTTAAAAAATGAGGTCTTTACAGTACTGGCCAGATAAAGTCAGGCTGCTGATGGTAAGGAGCAGGAGCTTGCTGCTAATGGAGGCAATTTGCGAAAGGAAAGATAAGACAATAAAGACCTCAGATAGACAAAGACGTGAGTGAGGTGCATGTGTGCCCTTATCACTCTGTGGTACAGTATTGGGGAAGCTACTCTGAAAATGTGGCTTGTCGAGCTACAAACTGCGGGTACCTTGAAGTAGTTAAACAACTATCAAGTCTCCTTTTTGAACATATGTAGCTGCATTACAGGTTAAAGTAGCTAACTACACTGAACTAACCATGCGGTTTCAGAAAGGTATTAACTTTAAACAATAATGCAAGTCACAAGCGGAGTGAGTTTTCTGATTTGCTTAAAAGAATAAATCTTTATATATACAGTGCTGTTTTTTTTAAAGAAAATAATATTTTTATTCAGCATGAATGCAGTAAATTGACAGTAAACAAAAAATTAAAGAAGCACAAGTGTTTTCAACATTAATGATAATAATACGTGTCTTGAGCAGCAAATCAAATCAAAAGCATATAGGATTCACATCAAAGCAAATTAGATTGATTTGATGGGGCAATGGCTGCTGAAAATTCAGCTTTTACATCACAGGAATAAATTACATTTTAAACCATATTAAAATAGAACACGGTTGTTTTAATTTGTAATTCAAAATATTACTGATTTACTGTATTTTTGGTCAAATGCAGTCTTCCATCAGAGACTTCTTTCAAAACATTAAAAAATCTTACCAACCCCAAATTTTTTAACAAAGGTGTGTGTGTGTGTGTGTGTAAATATGTGCATATGTAAAACATTTTATTTAATTCTTTAGATTAAAAATGAGGATCTAGTTATGGTGATATATAACTATTAAACAACTATTCAAATTAAAGACTACATTATTTACATAACTGAATAAAAACACAGTGATAAATGGCAAAATCTTTTTTTATAATAGTTTATTTAATATTTAATTATATTCATTTCAGTCTTTCCTGGAGAGTTTGCTCAGCTGTAAGGCTTTGTACAATATAATACAAAAAGAGTAATGTAGTGTTTTGTCATGCTACACTGCTAATTGTTGAAAAAAACTACTTATTGGAAAACAAGACTAATTTGACAACATCTGAGTAGCTGAAATGCTACGGAAAAAGTAGTTAAGCGGCGCTCCTTTTAATTAGCTATACTCCAACACTTTTGTGCATGTGTGGATAAAGTTGTGCAACATTGTTCAACACAGCGTCACAAGTTGAGTCTAAAAAGGTGGGTGTCTCAGTGGACATGCGGTGCGAGTCACCTCTGTGTTTCTGTCTCTGTGGAAACAACGAGCTCACTTACTCCTCTGCAGTCGAGCGCAGCAGAAAGCCCCCAGGGTCCCAATGAGGACGATGAGAGCCAGGAAAGCTCCCACTGCAACCCCGATGATGACGGCCAAGCGCAAAGACCCTGAGGAGAACACAGAACCGCTGGGATCATCAGACAACCAGTGACAGAATGTAGATGTGCATAGTCCCGATCAGGAGCCTGTTTGTCACTTGAGGAGACATAATGAAGTCGTGTTCCGTGAGTCTTCTATTAAATCCTGTGGGGATGAGCTGACCTCTTTGAATAACTCAGCTCTGTACCTTGGGAGTCGGCTTTGCTAGAGGAAAATGGGCCAGTATTTGAATAAAAAAAATCCCATCTAATTTCATTTAAATATTTCAAAGAAATCATAAAGGCAAGTAAAAAGGATTAAGGGCTGTTTAAATTAGATTAGAAATGGAAGTTCTGAATATGTCAGAATTCCATTAAGGAAATCCACATATTTAAGTAGATGACATTTACCTGAATAAACAGATTATGATCCAGTCTTTGCCCTAATGCTCTGAAAAATCAAGTCGGGGTACTTAATCACTGCAAGACGTGAGTAAAACACACTCACACACACTTGAGGCACTGAACACCGTGTCCTAACCAGTTGCGACGCGACCCGAAATAAAAGGTATATTTTACAAGTTAATCAGAGTTTTTGTCCTAACCAGCTGTGACGGCGATATGCAACGAGCTACAGCAGAATCTATTTTAGAAACATTTTCTATTTCTGCAACGTTGTGGCCAGAGCAACAGTATACAAACTATGGCAAGAATAATCTCAGGTACTGATTATTTGCTTTATTTAATGTTAAATGTTGCAGTGTGGTTGCAGGATGCGGTGTAAATTGATTGTTACCTTGCTCTTTGAGGCGAATGATCTCCGTGTCAGAGCCGAAACTGTTCCATGCGGTGCAATTGTAGATGGTTTGGAAGTCAGTAGGAACGATGTTGCTCATAGTGAGGGTGGAGATGACACCATCCTCTGTGCTCACGGTCTCCACGGTATAACGGCCCGATGTTCCTGATTCTAGCACTGTTTCTTTCCATGACCATGCCTGCATAAAATATAGGCATAAACAATTATATAATGCTTATGAAGTAAGTAATCCTAAAACATAAACCAATTTTATGGGTTTACTTTCTATTGCAAAGTTCTTGCAACTTCCAGGAGCACAAGTAAAGCAACTCAGTGCTGTTTTGCTATTATGACATGCTCTGTTTTTTAAAGTCAAACCCACAAGCACAGCAGGTCAGTTGAATTAATGCACTTTTTAGTTCAAATAGTGCTAGGCTGAAAAAAAAGCTTTTTTGCGGTTCAGTCCATTCTGCCTCTTCCCAGCATGCATCGAGACATGAATAATTAATACGGTTGCACTGTCTGACGGTTTGCCAATTTGATTAGCACTCGTTGTCCTGTGATGTCAGGAGGAGTTTGTTCCTCTATTTAAAGTGATTGTGTGTGGTGGTATTTCACAAGTTTTTTCGCCTTGTGAGTGATCATGTGCTGTTGTCAATAGTTTAGGATAATGAGCACTTTAGTCTTCATAATGTATATTTCCCTTAGAAAATATGAGATTGGGCATATAATTAAATGAACAGTTTGTAACCATGTAAATACAGGAAACAATTTCCTCTGAACTCTAGTATTGTAATGAGTTAAAATTACAGCATAAGTCATGGCAACTTGACATTTTAAGTTCAATCAAGACATTTAATTAAAAAAAGAAAATGAAATCAACTTAAAACAAAACAAAACATGTACCTTCATTAAAGTTTTATATACATTTCTTTTACAGTCCACACGTCTAGAAATTACTCACACTCACACCCACACATACAGTTTGTGAACCAGAGTTAAAGAAACTCAATTCACTGAAATAAACCCAAACACTCAAGCAATAAATCCTTTTTAATAGATCTTCAATGCTTTAAAATATCTGTTTAACGCGTTGAAGTTAAAAAGTATTGAACCTTTTTCATTGCACCTCTTAACCGTTTTTCACCTAAATAGACAGACTCTGGACTACTTTTATTCACTTATTCTGGCACAGAACTGACCAATTAGGAAACAGATAAATATAAAATGAGACATAATTTTACAACTACATTATTACACCATCATTCAAAAGTCTGGGTTCAGTAAGATTTTAAAAACGTTTTGAAAGAAGTCTCTAAAGCTCACCAAGGCTGCATTTATTTGATAAAAATACAATAAAACCAGTAATATTGTGAAATATTACTAAAATTTAAATGAACTGTCTTCAATTTAATATATTTTAAAACATAATTTATTCATGTGATCCAAAGCTGCATTTTCAGCAGCAATTACTGCAGTCTTCAGTGCACATGATTCTTCAAAAAATCCTTCTAATATGCTTATTTGCTGCTCAAGAAACATTGCTTATTATTATCAATGTCGATAAGAGTTGTGTTGATTAATATTTTTGTGGAAACCATCATATTTCTTTTAGGAATCTTTGATGAATAGAAAAGATCAACATAATTTGAAATATAAATGTTTTTTTAAGAATATTAATATATTTACTGTCCCTTAGGTGAATTTAATTCACCTTTGCTGAACTAAAGTATTAATTTCTTTAAAATCTTACTGACCTCAAACTTTACAGTAGTGTATCTAAATATTATTATTATTATTATTATTAACATCATTAATAAGTAAATAAGCATTACTGACATGATTGAGATATATCTGACCACTAAATGTTGATTTGAAATATCTCTGAAATATTTGACCACTGAATACATAGGTGGATGGATAGATAGAACTCACAATGCGGTCTGGAGGAGGGGTGCTGCGGATGAAACACTTGATCTGGCCCTTCTCCCCATACAGAGCCTGCTGCGTCTGTGTGCTGGAGATGGTGGGAGGCCCTGAAACAAATAACAGACTGTCAAGCTTCCTGTCTGACAGCTGAACTGCCTGCACACCACATCAGCACACATCCTTCCTGAGAACAGAGATGACAGGACATATGCTTCTGTTTTCATGATCTCCAATCTGGTTTTGAGGATCTTCTATCTTAAGATGAGGTGTAAGAGTAAAGAATCAGGGACAAACTTTTGCATGCGTTATTTCACTGCTTCTTATTCACTGACTGCTCACAATCAAGTTTACAACCAGCCAGCAAGTATTGAAATAAAGTCATTGTTATTCTTTTCAGCACAAACATGCTTCATTTCTATGTAAATTGGGCTCATTATAGATTGTGGCTTATGCACAAAACTCTGTGCTATTTGATTGGCACAATTTTCATCGTTATGGTAAATGCAATTTCCTTTAAAAGAGATGTTCATGTACATTTTCCCATTCACCATTGATCACTGCAGCCATAATTCATCAAATGATGGAAAAGAGCATTATAACCAGGCACACTTCCAGAAAAACAAACAAACAAAAAAACAGATTCAGGTGTCTGAATTGTGAGATTTTGTGACTGTATTCACAACGTTAACTGATTTGCATATTTTGTTCAGTGAATCAGGCACTTAAACAAAAAGAGAGTATGTGCAAATTAGCAGACAAATATAGCAGCCCCAAACTCATTCTTTGTGAACTGAATCATCAAACACTTGACACTTGTTAACGGGTTGTTGAAAAAAAAAAAAAGCATGGCTTAAGTGGACTAAATAATTGGAGAAGTTTGATGTTTCACAGAAAGATCATGATGAATTTATTACAGTTTTTCACATAATTAATCATTTTGACAGTGATGTCATGCTAAATTTCTCCAAATCTGTTCCCATGAAGAAACAAACTCTTCTACATATTAGATGGCCTAAGGCAGAGTTATTTTCAGCAAACTATTCTTTTAAAGGGGTAATATGATGTTGCTAAAAAGAACACTATTTGGTGTATTTGGTGTAATGCAATGTGTTTATGCAGTTTAAGGTTCAAAAACACATTATTTTCCACATGCTGTACATTATTGTTGCTCCTCTATGCCCCGCCTTTCTAAAATGGGTCGATTTTTACAAAGCTCATCGGTCTGAAAAGCAAGGTGTGCTCTGATTGGCCAGCTATACAGTGCGTTGTGATTGGCTGAATACCTCAAGCATGTGACTATAAAGCCCCACTTTATAGAAACAACCTTTGTGCACAGCATTGCAAGCTACGCTCCCAGGTTCAGGAAGCGGTTCTCCATAAAATGCGCTGCACACATCTGAATATTTGCGTTGAACTGTTCTGTTGTAAATACAACTGATACACTGATTTTTAGTTGTGTCCTCTTTTGGAAGGTGTGACGACCCCTGTCGTTACTTTGTGGAATGGCTGTAGGAGTCCATGGACTACGTTGATTGGCCGTCGTTTGGGAC